AAAGCCACAAATTAATTGTCCAAACTAACAACCGAAAAGGTCAAATTGCAAAAATATCATTTCCGGTTCACATGCCCTTCAATATTTGAAATTCGCACAGCATAGGCCGAGTTATAATATAAAATTTGCCAAGAAGATTTAACATAGAACCGGTATTTAAAATCCCACATTGATACCAAAAGAATTGAATTCCCGAACTCGCCCATAAAAACCCCTGAAATATATGCACTATACATGTAATTACATAGAGATTATGCATCAAATGAATTCTAAACCCACATATAGCAGCTCTTATACCACATGTAAGAAATGCAATGATCAAAAACTGACACATAGAATATACAGCACCTAGCCTTGAATAAAAAACAGATACCTGGTTAGCTAATTATCGTCTTTGAATCAAGCACTACGGATAAATTCATACAAATCCAGGACTAGGCTTTCGTCTCTTTCTCCTACCTTAGATGGTCTTGATGGATAAAATGTAGGTGTATGAAATTAGGAGGAGAAGGGAGACCATAACCTATTTATGTAGCATATTTTAATAGACTCCTCCATTACAGGTGTCACTGTTAAAATACTAGTCTTCACTAATCGCCAACCACATTATTTCCGTAACCAAAATATGCTAAGCCCTATATAATATGAACACATAACCATAATTGGGCAATATAACATTCTCATATATTTTATAAGTACTATAACAGAGTATTTTTCACGGACCAAAATATTATACAATTAATATAGCCTGCATTTATAAAAAATTCGAACACATTGTGGTCCAAAATTACCATCTTCCTGCTCATGTTAGACTGTGGATCTTTCAGTCAAATGATTTGGTATTTTCAAATGTTTTAATAGATTGGGTTATGATCAGTACTAGCTAGAAAGAACTAAAATTTCGACATTCATAATCGAAAGAAAAAAGGTCTCACGTGTAGGATTGAACAATACTGAAAGCACACTCAGGGAAGAAACAATTGCCAATTGCTCTCTTTTTTTTTTTTGGTCAGAAAAAGCACTTTCATTCATTTATTCATTCATGAATCAAACTCTACCAGAGCTAGACAAGTTGGTTTCTAAACACAAATTATTCCAAAGGGGTTATTGGGGGTAAAGAAGACCAATTCAAAGGGACAGTCTTGTTCCTATGGGTCTTAACAATCCAATCAGCAACTTGATTAACCTCGTAGGGACAATGAGCAACCTTCACCTTAACCAAGTGGGCCAGCAGAAACCGGCATTCCTCAATGATTTCTTGCATGGCTCAAGGGCTTTCAACATTACCCGTGGTAAGCTCCACTAGTGACAAGCAGTCGGTGGATACTACAGAGCACAAGTAGAGAATCGACTCATTCACTGCTAGGGCTTCTGCAAACAGAACCGAGGGAGCTTGCACGCCTTTCGCAAAGCCAGCCACCAACATACCGCATGAATCCCGAACAATTCCAGCTATCAAAACTTCCGTTGCTCCCTCCGTCCACGAGCAGTCGGTATTGAGCTTGAGGAGTCCTCTGGCATGCGGTACCCACTGTTCAGGTAAGCTCTTGTTTAAAGAGAGGGCAGCGTCGACGATTGAGCTTGAGGAGTCCTCTGGCCGCCAAATCCCTCTTCACGGAGCAAAACATTGAGATTTTTATGTACTTTTGGCGCCACCACGCGACCAATCAAATCATTGAGATTTTTCCACAATTATATGCTAGGAAAAGTCAATGATGATCACGACGTTAACTAGCTCTACAAATATTATAAATTTAAGTATCTAGGACATAATTGGTGCAATCTGGAAGTTTAAATCCAGTCAATGCATTCTTTGCTAGGAAACCCATGTGAATCACATGCAAATTATTTACCACTTTTTATCATAATTAGGGATCACACATGATAATCATGGTTAACAGGCTATAATTTAGAAAGGTCACACAATGCCGCCAGCTTTTTATATGCACAAGTAACTGATAATCATTCATTACACAGCAAAGGTCCATCATAAAACTACACATGATGTACATGACGTTCATAAAAGCAAGGAATCATACTTTCAAAGGTCTTACCTAGTTGTGCAGAGGAACGAGAAGATTCAACGGGAGGAATCAATGCACATAGATCAAATGAGAAGCCTCAGTAACCCGTGGCCTGGGAGGCTTTGGAGCTGAAATCAAAATATTAGCATTCAGCATATATCTATAATACTCAAAACAAAAAATAGATTCCACACTATCGTAAACAGCAAAAGAATGGAAAAGGAGGGAAAAAATGGCCAACAAGAATGATATTCTTGTTACAGGGTTCTATAGAACAGAGAAGAAAACCAAATTCATTTTATCATTGCGTAGACAAATTAATCAACGCCATCTTTTCTGTATGTAATGAGTTTCCAAAGTTTTATAATGATCTCAGAAGCACGAAAAGGTTCTGGTCTAATCAGTCTCTTCAAATATTTGCAACTAAAGAGCTCAAATTGGAGAATTGCTTGACCAAGAACCATATATGTTCAGTAATTCACGATAGGGATCAAGGTAGAAGATATTTCTCTCAACGAGTCTAACCAACGGATTATCAATTATTAAGATACTGCACTTCCTCTTTTTTCCTTCCGTCCCATTTCTCAAATGGCAATCTGGCTAAGAATACCCGGTCTAGAGGAAAGCTATATTTGATAAACAGGGCATCTGAAAATTGGCCAAAACAAAAAAATGACTGGCCATCTAAAACTCTTTAACTTTTCTTTACTGGGCATATTCTACACCTATTCATAGCAACCATTACATGGCTGACAACCGCTCCACTCAAGAGTGTCAGTCTGGTAAAGTGTAGCCACCATTATAGTTTCCTTGTTCTTAAAATTCTCACAGATGAGAAACCGCTTCTGATGCCATTATCCCTCCACAACATTTGAAATCCTTTGATCTAGAATTTCCATTACTGCAAGAGAAACAAGAAAAAAGTTGGAAACATTCATCAATCAGGCAGACACTTGAAAGGGGAACACAGATGAAATTTCTGTGGAAACCAACAAATGGTCCCGATGAATCTGCATTTTTACCTAGTTCATCTGCTCGAAACCCAGAATAGATTCCAATTGCAAAACGTGTCCAAATATCACGGCAGACATAATTTAGCAGACTAATTGACAAAGCACTTTGCAAAAGAAGGTACTATCTAAGCAAAAACAAGTTTTCCGATAGGAGAATATGTTTTGTTTAAAAAGTTTACATTTCGGTCCTCAGATTATCAATTTTAAGAAATGTCTGTACTCTAGGAAATAGGTTTTCATGCAAGCAAATTATCTCTAAAGTGTACCATTTGATTCAATTGACAGTACCTAGGCTCTATTAGCGGCATTGACCTTGGCAAATTCTTGGATCAAATCTAAAAAAGATGTGTGTTTTGTGTTTTGGGTAACTATGGCTTAAAATTTTTTACTTTAACAATGCCTTTGGGCCATTCTATATTTTCTCTTCTACGTAAAACCCAATGTCCATGGATGGCTTAAAATTTTTTACTTTAACAATGCCTTTGGGCCAGTCTATATTTTCTCTTCTACGTAAAACCCAATGTCCATGGAGAACAACTAACATGCTGTAAACAGGGTGATACTTAGAAGCTTTTAATTCAGATGGGCAACTTCTCTTCAGAGAAATTTTGGTACCAGGATCTCATTGAGAGAAGATTTGTGGATGATTTGTATACTAGTACTGGCCAGGATGGGTTTCAATCAGCTATGTGTTCCGAACGTTGGATAGGAACCATGCTCACCATTATGACAACAGTCTCATATTCTATCATGAAACTATGCAATAATTGGGACTAGTTTTTGAGCTCCAGAAGGAGGAAATTGAGCAAGGCAGTCCTTTATCCGCAAGATGAGTCCTCTTGCTTGATGTCGTATTTAGAGAGGCAATGTGCTAGTTCATGTTTCCCACACTACTTTTGACTCGTAGTCAGATTATTAAGAGCAGCATAACTATAAACTTCAATCTCTAGAAGTCTAGAGTTTTCATGGTTTATTTCCTTTTCTCTAAATTTTTTTGTTAAGATGCATCCTTAGTACATCTCTTGCTTCTTCTCCCTGTACTTGAGCTGTTGTTCTTTAAAAAATACTTGAATAGAAAAACAATGTCCGTAATCTAGATTAGCTACTTCATGAACTGCGAAAATCACAACGAAACAAATCCCGTTTCAACGTTTTAACTTTTGTGTCAACAAAGTTTGAGTAAAACCTTGATGAGTTTTAAACAAGCTTAGAAAACATCAAAAGTTAGATCATAGTAGCGTCAGACAGATGAAATATCATTCTGGAAACACAAGTCATACACCGCAACTTAGTAGGCACCTGCTCTCACGTATGCAAGAAGAGATAATTACAACTAATAAACACAAAAAGAGGTTTCTTTGTCAAGTACATTGCCCATGGCATATCAGAAAGCATAATTTACTCATGATTAAATTATCACATTTCTTTGCAGATTTCCAGATTTAACCATGACAACACTAAAGACATCAAAAATCTGACTGCAGTGAGAAAACGTGAGAAACAAAGGGGAAAGGGAACAGGAAAGAAGAAACTAATGTTAGCTTAACTTGTAGCACTTCCCAGAACTGTACATCTTCTTGGGCATATGAAAAGAATACATAAATGTCTAACAAATCACAAAGAATTCAAGGAAAAGGAAACAAAGCGGAGAAATTTAGAATTAATATATACTTGAATTCTGGACGCTTCCAGAAACTCCACTTAAGGACAGAAAAGATGGAAAATTAGCTCCATAAACCTCCATTTATTTTCATGGTTATGTGTTGCAATATTTAAATAATGACAACAAACAGAACCACTACGAAATCACATCCATCAGTAATCAACATAAGGAAGACCTCCAGTCAGCTTTACTTGTCAATCATCATATGTCACAATAACAAAGTGGAGCTAAGTAGCTACGAAATTAGCAACAAAAGCAAGTTCAGAAATGCATGCCTTGGAGCTACTGAATGCAACACCAGTATTGAGCCACAGCCTCCAAATTTATCATTTGTACAGCCATAATATACTTCCTTTCTACCTAAAAAGGGGTAAGAGAAATCTTATTATTTATGAATAAACCAATTCAGGAAAGTTTAGTTTTATTTCAGTATGACCAATAGATGTACCAATGATCGATAATGCTACTGCACATATATGCATGGTTCACATGTCACATAAAGGGAGTATACTGAAAATTTCTCTGCAACTTCTGTAGCTGAAAATCCAGTCATCTGCCACTGTTCCTGAAGGACATCAAGAGCTTCCATCTTTGCATGTCTTGTTGCCTATGAAAGAGCAAGGAGAAAAACAAAGCAAGCATATCAAATTTAGGAGCTTTGTCAGAAAGATAGTTTCTCACAGTGTAGGTTAGCATAAATTTAGGAAATGCATTTCATGAGGAATGTTTTCTCCTTCAAGTTAACTAATTGAGAGAATATATAAGATAGATTAAGGCATATACTACATCAACTCAACAATTTTTGCTCGCTTGAAGTTGCTGAGAATCTCACATGGAAAAAGAGGCTTCTTACTGGATTAGCCACCTCCACCTTTTATAACAGTATTTTTATATATACCTGGTAGCAAGGTGCCTTTATTCTTTCAGTATGCTACACAAGATACTAAAAGGGCCATATATTTTTTGTATCGACTATTCATTACTGTCCATAAAATCATTTATAGCAGTGTATTGTCACCATAAAACTATAAATAATTGCAGCAATAGACTATTAGATAGGAGATGATCTCTACCAGAAATCAGGCTTAAACTATTTGTGTACATGTGGCCATTGTACGAAGAAATGTGCCCAAAGAGTTGGTTCTTAAAATCTCAAAAGTCAATACAATGCTCACAATGCTTTTTTTATACCAAGTAAGAATACCAAAGTCAAGCTAACATACAGCCTAAGAAAATAATATTAGGAACTTCACAAAAAATAGATAAAGACCATAATATGGCTGCAAACAGAGCGTAATGGTAAATGAAAAACGCAACACATTGTGCATAATAAAGCAAGAATATTGCTATTGTTGGCCTTAGTCATGTCTTATGAAAGAATAATGTGAACAAAACCCTTTACAGCCTAATTATGCATGCAAAATTCCACTATTAACAAATTTGTTCAGATATATTATTGAAAACCATTCACTAATTTAGTCTAAAATACTAATCATCTTAATTAGAAAATAAGATAACATATCTGAAACGCACCTAGTTACTGAAAATCAGTTTCTAACCCAACTGCAACTTCAAGGCTTTCCAAAGCAAGCTTTGCCTTATATAAGAAAAGCAAATAGGTCTCGTTACTAGTTAGGAGAAGAAAACATGAGGAAAAGAGTTAGAAATTCTTTCATGCATGCGTGCATGCATTCAAGCAATTCAAGAGGAAATCAACATCAAGTTGCTACCAGTAGAAATATTCAGAGTGTCTCATAGCTACAGATCTAATGAACGCATGTCTCATAGTTATGTGATCAAGATCTTGCAGGTCCTGTATATATACTGGTCACAAATTCCAAGCAATGGTTATTACCACATTCTCATCCTGTAATTCAAATGCGAATCCCACCTAACTGTCGAACTTATATGGCTCTAACAACACTAAAGCACAAACAGCTACTAATTTGAGAAACTACATGTTGCTGACTCGAGTGAGTCTTATCATTGGTACCTCAGAAGCTTATCTTTCATTAATTAGGTTATAGTCAAACATTCAAGAAGCTTCTAGGAGCTTTAGCTTCTAGGTCAATTTCCTCCGTAAACGCTGGCACATAAGCATAAAAAGAGAACACTAAACTGTTGCGAAGGCCTCAAAAATCAGAATTGACAATCAGCCATTTGTGCTTTTGTCTCTATTCTACTGAATAACTTATGTAAACTCCGTGTTTCTTGTGATTTTTTTCTTTTTCATACCCATAGTCTACAGGAAGAAAGAAAATAACCACCTAACCAGTTATTCATGCGCACAACTCATGCTCCAAGTAAACTTGCTTTTTAATTCTCCGTAGATGCCAAAGTCAACAAGTGGTAAAAGGACTCGACTGTCCAGCAACCTTTCTTGGTGGCTTGCCATCTCACTGCATCTTCTTCATTCCTAAATGGTTTTGCCTCTTCAAGCGCTGCATAAAACATAGAGACAGAGCCCTATCCCAGCGATGGAAGTTTTTTGCAAGTCAATAGTCCTGGAAAACCTTTCACCCACTGCACATCTGTATGAGTTGTACATACTACATATCCATACACCTCAAAAGCAACCCCCCCTTAACACCACTGTGGCTGGTTGTCCGCTGCAATGCCTGGTTTCGCGTAAGGGAGACCCAACCTATAGCACCCGGAGTGGCTCAGTTTTCGCCCGAAAAGCGAACTAAACCAAACCATGCACAAGCTACTTCCCATTGTTTCACTCTCCCTCTGCTTGTTTTTCCCATTGAACCTAGACTTCACCTACTTCTTTGAAAAAATTGCCACATATCAAAAGAAAGGAAGAAAAGATATACCTTCTAGGGATCGTTGCTGATTTTGCAGCGCGTAATGTCGATTGCCAGTGAATTCACCACCAAGCATCCCCAGACTAAACTTACGAAGAAGCACCTTATCCAACGTCTCTCTAACAAATTCACGGACACATTCTTCAAGCTCCCGCGCAATTGTAGAACCGTACGAATCAAATTCAAAATCGATATGATCTACAGCAATCTACATGAAGCCCAGAACCTCAAGAGAGGATCTCTCACCCCAAGCTGCTTTATCAGTTTCCATGGCTTCGGTCGGGTGGTAGTCCGTCGCCTCCGCTCGCCGTTCTCCGTCGCCTCCGCTCGTCGGTCTCCATCGCTGTCGATTCGCTCGGGACTCTGTTTCAGGAAGACCAACTCCCTTTGCTCGTCACCTACGTCGGCAGGTGGCAATCTTCCATTCGTTAGAGCTCACTGGTGGTGTCGGATGGAAGACGATCAGTCGTGATGCTGAAAGTGGCGTCGGGGGAGAGAGAAAATCTTAATACGAAGAAAAGAGATAAAAGAGAGAAGAACACGAGAAGAAGAAGAAAAAAAATCAGCGAGCTCACTTGCCAACGAATTGCTTCCTTAGCAAGTTTCTCGACCGTTCCCTTCTCCATTGATCAAATTGGAAGTCGACATAGTCTTGATTCACTTGCTTCAAACGATAAAAAAGACACGCTCTCTCTTTCTCTCTAGTACCATTATACTATATTTCTCAATTCTCGTTTGATAATCTTGCAAGCATTTTTGTGCATCTGTTTCAATTGAACCATTTTCGTGTATAAGTAAACTCTCGACTCCTGAATATGTTGATTCATGACCAATCTCGTAGAGTAAAGCTGGATCGATTAATCGATTATCTTGAAGCACAGCTTTCAAATCGTCCTCCAGTTGTTTGCAAAATATTCGCAATCCCCACTTTTTCATGTGTTTACTAGAAACTGTGAGACTAAATTGTACATGACTCCCGTCAATTCGATCAAAATCGGCTACTCCCCACAATTTTGGTGGTCTGAGATAACGAAGCTGTATATGATCCAACTCCAACGGTTCGAGATGGAACCCGTGTCTTTCCCTTATTTGGCCATTAACCTCGATAACCAAACGATATGAGTTTTCACTTTCCTCCTCATAATTATCCTTATCGAGAGAAACACATACAGCAAATCCAACAAACTTGTCATATAAGTCTTTTGAAGCCATGAAAGATATGGAATCCTTTTCAACAGGGAGAACCCACTCCGGCATCTCTCCTCGAGGGAGAACAGCAGAGTAATTAAAAGGCTGAAATAAAGATAGATCATTAGAAAGTACCCAAGTTTTGTTATTAGTACCCAAATAGAACAATTCAATTTGAATTTAGTAAGTAATCCTAAAGAATTCCACATGGAATTAGAGAGCAGAGATCCCTTGATCCTTGCTTGCATTAACATACAAGTCTCATGTGATAGAAATCATTTCCATAAAAGTACGGTAGCCAACTCCATTACATGCATACACGTGCAGAATCACTTTATATTTGTTTGATTTTCTTAAGCCTCAAATCTTGCATTTTCTGCTATTGTGATATCCAACCATGCACGAGATCCAGCATAGAGTCCATATCGATATGCGTGCGTGTGTGTGCATGTGTGTGCGTGAGAGAGAGAATCTAACCTGGTAAGGCGAGCAAATTTCAGTCATGGTTAACCCTCTACGAACAAAATCATGAACTGAAGTTAAATCTCCACAATTTTGCAGAGATTCGCAATTATCCGTCCGAAGAGTTTTCATAAAAGGTGGAAGCTTGGGAGTCTCCTGTAATTGATGGCAATTATCAACCAGCAAATAGGACAAATGATGACGTTTATTGATGGATGTAGGAAGGCTAGTAATATTGTTCCCTGACAATTGTAATGTTGTCAAGAATGGAGAGCATGAAAGATTCTCAAGAAAGTCTACTTCGGACAAATTACATCCTGAAAGGTTTAATTGATGTAAATTTGAAAGTTTGGTCTTTGTACAAGGATCAGTTGAATCCTCGTACCTTGGAAACCCCATTAAATTTGTGCAAAAATCGAGAGCCAAGACTTCAAGGTTTTGTAACTTGTAAATGCTAGATGGAAGACTCATCAGTTTCTTGCAATAACCTACATCCATTGTCTTCAAAGAGACAAGATTTTCTATTGATGCAGGAAGTCCTTTGATAGCGGTTCTTTCCAAATAAAGCTCTTTTAGGGCTTCGAGTTTATGTGGAATATCAGGGAACCTTTCAAACTTTGTGCATTCTTTAAGATTGAGAGTTCGAAGATTTTTTGACTTGAGCTCATTTGGAAAAACACTAAGTTCAGAGCATCCCTGGAAATTTAACTCCTGTAGCTTGCAATGATATGCGATGGACTTGTGGGCTTCGACCAAGTTTTTACAATTACGGAGATCCAATTCCTCGAGATTTGGAGTACACGAGAGGTCCGGCATGCGAACCAACGACTCGCACTCACTGACATTAAGGTACTTCAAAGTTTGGAAGCCCTGCAAAAACAGCGAAATCAGGTTTGATAAACATTCTGAAAGGAACAAAAAGGGGTGTTTGTATGATGATGTTGCTTCCTTACATTAAAATCGGGGGATTCCCGTTTGAGAATTGGTTGATACCGAAGCATATCCATTATTTATCTTTCAAGAAATTACTATATTTTAGGTCGTCAATCGTAAATATTGAGCAACTTGTTTATTTAATGTAGAGGTGATCTGCTACGGAGTCCACAAATATGCTTATGTAAGCTGTTGTGCATAGACAGGGGAGTCAAACCCGTGAAATGATGGTAATCTAATATCGGATGTCATTTATGTTGTCCATGGTTTTATAATATTGCCTACACAAGACATGGGGGAGATTGGGTTTCTCAAGGGAAAGGATATGTCACAATTACATATCCTCCACTGTTATATAATCTATATTGACCGGGTGAACACTGAATATGTCCTAATTACACATCCTTAGGCCACAACACTCTTCATGGGGAAGGAAGCAAGGAGCTTCGGTAGATCAGGCACACTCGGAACCCACTATTCAGGTTTCTGAGTGAATTTCTTAACTTATTAATTAACTTTTCATTCAAAGTTACTATAAACTGATTTTGTGAGGATAAAATATCGCGCTGAGAAATTACTAAACACTTAGAAACTTTACCAGTAATTATACATACGTACACACACACACACACACACACATATATATATATGTACATTTTAGTAACTCAGAGTTAACTCTTATCATTTGACATTTTAGATATTATTTGAAATAATTGGATAATATATAGACGCATAATATAAAAAAGTTCACAAATAAAATTGGGTTAACAATTATTAAAAAAGATTAGAATAAATATCATTAAAAATCCACAATCGACATGCAGATTTACCCCTTATTAATTTTCATCTTACAAAAATCCTAAATTGGTACAATTGTGACACATTTACCCTAAACTAATTTTCGTCCAATAAAATATCCCAAACCGGTATTCCTCACCCAAATCTACTCTCTATTAGCAGATGAAAATTAGTTTTGGATAGAATAGAGCCGTGTGTCATGCATGTGGCAATCCCATATTCTAAGTGAAGGGTCATGCAGCGAGTATGCAAATGTGGCCATGTAAAAAACTATGCCACGTGTCATATCATGTGACAATCATAGAAGCATAGTAAAGTGCCACGTGGCTAGTGCAAATGTGGGCCACGTAACAAAACAATACCACGTGTCAGGCCATGTGACAATCATAGAAGCAAAACAAAGCATCACGTGGTGTGCATAAGAATGAGCACATTGTCGGATTTTGGCTCTAACTATATATAATAGATGAAGGTCAAGAGTATATGTTCTATCACAATGAAATTTTCCGAAAATCAATAAAATTTAAAATTTGTTGAAGTTTTTCAAAGACAACGAAACCAACTTGGAAAAACATTGGGAAGAAAATACAAATTTCATATATTGAATTCAAAAGGGCTAATGTAGGTAAATACTCACCTTAAATTGATTTGGCACCTTTGTGATACTGCAATTGCTCATATCAAGTCCCACTAATTTCTTTCGACCAGAGGAAAATTCTGGAATCCGAGGAGCACATCCAGCCCATTGAAACCATCTTAGCTCATTAGGAAGACATACAGAACCTTGGAAAGAATTATGCACATTGCGCAAAATGAGCAATCTCAAACTTCTCATTTTTGTAAAAGTATCAGGACCGATACATATCTCTGTCGGCTCAGGTGGCTCCAACACTATGGCTTTTACAGCACAATTTTCCTGTATATACAAGACTATTTACTTATGCATGTTCAACAATTAGAGGCAAAAAGATAAGGAAGAGAATTTTGATGGTATTTGCAAGCCTTACCATGTCACTTGAGAGAACATCGACAACGTCATCATATAGCCATAGTCTAGTGCGTCTTGTGGGATCATTGCTTTCTTGGTTCACAATATCCATACCCATCAATTGAATCAAGTCATGCATTTGTATGTCTTTGGTCTCAATTCTTATCAAGGACCTCTCAATGAGAATTTGTAATCCTATTACTGCCTTAAAATCACAACTTTCGAGAACTTTCTTTACATACTCACTATCCCGCCCCTTAAAGAAGCAAGCAATGTGGAGAAAGATCTCTTTCACTTTTGGCTCTAGTCCATCGTAACTTATTTTGAGCACATCATTGATGCCTTTTTTAGGAGCCGTAGAAATCTCATCTAGTGCACTTTCCCATTCATATTCTCTTCTACCTCTTAAAAAGGAACCTAGCACCTCAAGTGCTAAAGGAAGGCCTTTAGCATGATCTAGAACACTATCCACTAGATTTGTCTTGATTTTAAATTTTTGGTGTATCGGAAAAGCATGCTTACAAAACAGCTCACGAGCATCAATATCATTCAGTTCTCTAACTTCATACACGTGATCTTGATCTATCCCGAGATAAGTTAGCAAATGGCTATCTCTTGTAGTAACCATGATCCTACTTCGATTACGAAGCCAATTACCTTCTCCTATTAAAGCATGTAATTGGCACAAGTCATCCACATCATCAAGGATGAGGAGAACTTTTTTGTGACAAAGTCTTTCTTGTATTAGATTAATACCTCTGTCAGCATTGGACACTACTAATCTTTCTTTCAGTGCTAATGTCTCAAATAGTAATTTTTCTTGCAAAGTAACTAAATCCTTGCAATCTTTTGAAACTTCTCGAACATTCGCCAAAAAACATGAATTCTCGAATTGTCTGAAAATATCATTATAAACTGCTTTGGCTAAAGCCGTCTTTCCTATGCCTCCTTGTCCCCACAATCCCACCATGAGAACATCATCATCAGACTCAAGCTTTAACATCGATTTCAACTTAACCACTTGGGAATCTATCCCAACTGGATGCTTAGCAACATGCAAAGGTGTTCGGTCTAGGTGAATGGAGATTTCCATCACAATTCTTTGTATAAGCTCTGACTCATCTCTGAAAAAAAAACGGAAAAAGAAGTTGTGGCATCGTTTTAGCAATTTGAATAAGCAAATAAAAAGCAATTACTAGCCAACAATGACAAAAGCAGTGCATCATATTTTCACATAACCACAGCCAAAACAAAATGTATACCCACCAAGTCGAATTAGAACTCAAAAGAGCTCCACAACAATCAAAACAAGTTGAGGGTTCAACTTTTAGTCATCCAAGTGATTCATGTTCTTTTGATTTATACATAACAATTTACTTATTTTTCTTGTTGAACTGTTATATGTGATTTATTTATACGCTTAATCAAAAAAAGCTACTCAAGACTATGAACAATGGTTAAGATTTTGATTTGAAAACTATAAAAATACCCCGAAGCACGATGTCATTGCCTTACATGGCCTGTACACACTAATTATCCTGTATAAAGCGTTGCAAACTTTCTCTTTCCTTCCAAAGAAATGAGGCAAGTGCAGTAACACATTGTCGCGACCGAACTCCCGAGCCCCTTTTTTTTTTTAAACAACAACATGCAAAAAAAGAAGGGGGGCTCGCCTGGTACAACAATACAACGGTAATAAAAACTAACATGCAAAATATTACCGCGCAATCCTAGGCTTATCTAATTTAAACATGGTAAATTATGCATAATAATGCTACAATAAATTAAAAGAAAAAAAAATGCACATATGCCTAATGTCTATATGCAATGCATTTAAATAGAAATATTTTTTTGTTTTAGGAATTAAAGAAAATTAATTCCTAAATTTTGTGTAATTAATTTTGGGCAAATTAAAAATAAGTGTCAACACACATACTTAACATCTTGTCCATTGATCGATCAGGTTTTAGCATTTTATATTGTTCAAATAAGTCAGTAAAACTTTCAGGCGATGAAGTCCTATTGTCAATTTTTTTACGGGAAAAAGCCTCGTGTCTATTCTTTGGTTTGCTACATGTGATTTTTCAAACTCAAAATGCCACCGGTAACGAGTTTATGACTCGGTTGACCAAAATTGAAAATTTGTAGAGCTCAATTAACCAAAATGAAATGTGAAAAACTCAAATAGCCCACAAACAAAACGTTTACAACTTTTATTATACTTCGAGGAGGGCAACAAGGATCCAAAAGAAAGAGCTCCGAATGAAACAAGGCTTAGCAAAAGCCAAAGGCAGAATTTTATTGTTTCGTTACAAAAATAGTTTTTTTTTTGTGACGGTGAATTTCAACAAGTGTTTGTAAGTATCGCAAGCTGTCGGTGAAAAAAAGATGAGTGACTTTTCCTTTCCCATAACTTGTTAGTACCTACCAACGATTTTATGAAATCACCAATCTTTTTTATAATTAGTAAATAACTAATTTTTTGTACTAACTTACCAAAATTCGTTTGCATAACTTACGGCCTCAAACTTACTAACTTTTATATGAAATTACCAGTATAAATTTAGAGTGAATCATCAATATTCGTTATATTAAATAATTACCTACTAGTTTTGGGTTACCAACTCTCACTTGTGCGCCGTATGTTCTTTTAATTTACCATCTTCTTTATTCAGTTATCAATTCTCATTTGATTTACTTAACTAATTTTAGAAATTGCCGATCTTAATTAAAGTGACTTGCCAACATCTCTACAATTAAGTTACCAATTAATTTAGGGTTATCAATTATTATTTGAGTTACTTGCCAAGTTTATTTTTCTTTTAATTATCAACTTTTCTTATCTTTTGCCAAATTTTATTTCTCTTTCTTAACTAAGTCTTAGATTTATTAACTCTTATATGAAATTCCTAACTTTAATTTAAGCCACTTAAGAATTTTCAAGAACGATAAGATGAACCATCTATATATATACTTTCACTCATGTGTAAGTAGATTTTTTTTTTTACAATCTCTATACTTTCTTGCAATATAGCTTCTTAAATAAAATATGGACTCCACTCTACTTACCCATCTTTCAAATGCCATCCGGACAAGTAACTGGCATCAGAAAGAGCTTTCTCCCATCTCTTCACTTCCTTTGAATCCTTCCCGTACTTGGACTCATGCTTAATCATAGCATCTCTGTAGCTCCCTCTTGGTGTTCTCAATTCTCTAGGTTCCACTTTGTAAAACAAGGGAAAGACCATGAGATCGCTTTCTTTCTTACAGTCAATGGTTTTCGCCAACTCTTCCAAACACCACCATGAGGAAGCATAATCCTTGGAGAAAACGATTATTGTGATCTGTGATTCCTCTATCGCCTTCATAAGCACCGGCTCTATTTGCTCTCCTTTTCTAAGCTCCTCGCTATCAACATAAGTGTAGATTCCTTTCTGATCAAGAGCTTTGTAGAGATGACCGAGGAAGTTATTCCGGACGTCCTCGCCTCTGAAACTCAAAAACACATGGTATTTCCTTTCGGGTTTTAGTGAAGAAGCCATTAGATGATGGAGTTCAACAATCAATAATGAGTATTATCTGCAGATTTGGTATGATACTTTCAGGTAGTTCGTTCGCTATTCAATCTCCTTGTTCATCTATTCTTATACTGGCGGACAGAGGTGTATAACCTTTTTAGGGCAGGGTCAACAAAAAATAATATTAGAAATTTGGAAAATGATAGTGCTTATCGATCGACCAAGCTATCTGATAGGTGTGAACACGTGAACTTTTTTTCCTGAAGACGCACATCACGGGTTATTCAGATTGGCTGATTGACAATTGTTTGTTTGTTTGATATTGTATTTATTGGTAAATTGTCGATAAATTTGACCGGTCAACAGGCCAAATGGCCGACAAGGTAGAGAATAGTATAGATCGCCGCGGTCCCAGTGGACTCAATTATTGCACAAACTGACAAAGAAACTTTGCTGGCTTCCTCGAAATCACATTCACGACCTCCGTGTAGTTGTTTCTTCTTTGCTAAATAGTAATTAAACACATGACCCTCAAAAGACATATCATTATATGGACAATTAAATATATCAGCAAAGAATAATATTACATCGCTTCAGTTGTGGACCACTATATCTAATAGGTGTGTGCAACCATCAACTTATTTTCACTGGAAATCGAATACCATAGCAGTATTCGGATTATCTTATTTGACACAAGTTTCTTTGTTTTTATATCAAATTTATTGTTAAATTGTTGATGCACTTGACCGGTCAACAAAATAAATTTCAATTAATCTACCAGATTGGAGCGAATGGCTTTTGTCTATTTATTCTTTGATTTTTTTTTTGGAAATGTAGTATTTCATGTCATTATGTTAGCTTTTATCGTATGCTCACTAAAAAAAAAATTATGGCTTCCTCGAAATGGCAATCCCAACCTCCAAGTAGTCCTTTTTCTTTGCTTTCTTTTCTTCAAACTATCAATAATAATTTAACACATGACTACTCATAAGATATATAACTGATACATCCAACTAAGTATATAATTGGCCTAGCCCTATTTCATTATTTTCATACCTTAGGGGCACGAGAACAAAAGCCTAGCTATCATGGATGTAACATCCTGAATTCGACCCACTTTCGTGATCAATGAAATAAATGTTTATTTCTCATTTCATTTTAGTAAATCTCGCCCGGAACGGATTTTTCTCGGGATACTGACTAATAGGGAATGACTAACTAGGAAAACGGTACGTGGACCTAGGAACTCGATCGCGAATCGAGTCCGATTCCGAGAAACGACAAGGGAATATTTTGTGCCAATGTTGGCCGATCCAAGGAGAGTGACGGATTTGATTTGGCCAACGACGTACGATTGGATCTCGGGTGATTCTGCACGACCGAGAGTATGCGTGGCGAACAATCCCGAACTTAATCCAAACGATCGCGACCCCCGGAACTAGCGATAATCCCCGTGTCCTCTTGGAAATCGAGACCATTACGACTTGAGTAATCCTAAGTCGATACGCGTAACCCCTAAACAACCGCCCGTTAGTGAGAGACGCTAAAATCGCAAATTGAGCGAAATCGATCGTGGAATTGAGTCCGGACTTCGGTGTCGAATCTCGTGGGCGTACGCGACTATTTTTGCAAGGACGACGTCGTTTATATGTGGCCAATCATATTTGGGATCAGTAGAGTCGAAAATTAAAAATTTGATCCGGGACCGGAAAATTACCGTTGTGCCCCTGGACCCCTAAGCTTGGATTCCGAATTTTAGAGATTTATTAGTGGATATTATGGTCTTTATTATTATTATTATTGTTAGAATCCTTGGACCTTAGTGCCCTTAGATATTTTGTCTAGAATTAATCTCTACCCTTAGATTGAGGGCAAGATAGTCCTTTAGTGAAATTAGGTTACCTAACCCCACTAAGTCCATTTGTGCTTAATCTCTCCCATTCTCTCTCTCTCTCCCTCATTTCTTCCTCTCCAAGCCGGCAGCCCCTCCTCTCTCTCTCTCTCTCTCTCTCTCTCTCCCTTTCTCTCCTTGCTCGGCCGCGTGAGGCCCCTCGTTGGAGAGCCGCCGCTGCCGCTCGCCGGTGCCGCCGTTCCACACCTCACCATCACC